CAGAAGAATTCATACCCCAAATGACAAGGAGACTATTGAATCTAACTTGCATTGTTGGCAGGCTTAAGTCGAACTGAGACAAGGCTTGCAAATATCAAATTGAATTCACTTCATTCCTTAATAACCCCATTTGCATGAACCAAATTTCGATCTGTAACAATAAGTTAGAAGTGGGTTGACCTCGTTGTCGCAACTTGGTCTTGTTGTCAGGACTAATTAGAAGAAAGCACCTGGTCCGAAGTCGTCTGCCATAGTAGTTGTCATGATTGCCAGGATCAGACAATGGACTTTGTACATTCTCAATCGTTTCGCCGGCACCGTAGTCGGCATCATCAGTCAGTTTTGCCATTCTCTGCACGTACGAACTGGTCAAAGAGAAAAGTGAAGTCAATGCCTTGACAACCGTCCTGCCAAAAACGGTTACACTATCACTCCACTTTCTGTCCTGGCCTATCTATCTACTCCTTGCCCTCTTATCCCACTGCCGCCCTATCACAACTTCCCACTTGTTGACATTCCACTCGTCAAAATGTGTGCCCTTTTGTGACAGATCTAGTATGGCCTCATCACACCTGCTATTCACCCCTTTCGATCGGCTGATTCTACTCGGGCCTCCAATCCGGATCACCTCATTGTCTCGTAGATCCGTTACTTCTCTTTCTGGTTGACCGATTTCACTCGGTTCCAGTCCCAGTGTGCATTTCATTCAAGGCGCTATTTCTTAAGGTCCTCATCGAGCGGAGCGCCTAGAATGTGATTCCCATGCTTGAAGATATCAGGCCTTCCCTTCACGGATCCTCTCCTTCATTAAACACATGTTATCTGAGCAAACTGTGGACGCCAATCTCTGGTCGCATGCCGCATCTCAAGTGGATTTCTGGTACATTTTGGCCATGACGCCGAATCTCCGTGACGGTTTGCTTATCCGTCTGCCCATCGCCCTGCCTGCCAGACCCTTAAAGTTGTACTGGTTTATTCAAAATTGACATCACTCACTGACAACGTCTTCGCTTTATTGCCGAAGACCACTTCCCCCCACCTTCTTCATCGCGGCCCTTTTTGTTCCGGTTAACGATAGATCCTTGATCCAGGCGTCTTCTTTTTGCTGGTATTGCTTCATTCTTGTTGTCCCCGAGTTTGCTTAGGCAGTAGGCAAAGTTATCGCTAACTCTACCATCCTTCAATCTCCACAAAAGGACACACATTTTGAAGGCTGAAATGTAAGCAAGTGTGAAGTTTGTGATAGGACG